AAATAAAGTAGAATTTGGTTCATCTAATTTTCATATCAGGTTGGAACTATTACAGCGCTTGTGGCTGCTCCGAAGATTGTAAGCGAGCAAGGGTGAGAAAGGATAGATGCCTTGGAAAAGGAAGAAGAAGAACAAGATGAAGAACAAGATGATGATGATGATGATGATGATGGAGATGATGATGGAAATGATGATGGAGATGATGATGATATCTACCATGATTATCAGTCTGCATGCGACGATTTGATGACCATGTTGTTTTCTCTCTCACACAGCCTCCCCTTCCATCCCTCTTCATTGACCATCTCCTCTCGCTTCTTCGCTCATCCTTGCCCTCCCGCTTCCGCTGGTTCTTGCCCTTCCCTCCTCTCCTTATTCTCCTTCCCCCCCCCCTCCTGCTGCTGCTGTTCTTTGCTGCTGCTGCTGCTGCTGTTCTTGCTCCTGCTCCTGCTCCTGCTCCTCTCCCTGCTCTCTCACCTTCTTCACAGCTGGCAACAAGTCTTCACGACCTTCGGGTCGTTCGGCTTTGTCTGGCTTCTGTTCTGGCTGTCCATCTCCAAGGACTCTCCTCCCGTATACATGAGCAGCGAACAAGTCAGCGGAGTGAAGGGGGAGCTCGAGACGGAAAGGAGCAAGGAGACATTTGAACCCTCCACCAAATTGCCCTGGAGGCAAGTCAGGACGAGCAAAGTGAGTCTGCTGCTGCTGCTGCTGCTCCTCCTCCTCCTCCTCCTCCTCCCTTAACACCATCACTACCGCCACGATATTTTTCTCCTCCTTCTCTTCGTTTGCAGCTTCTTCTCCTTGTTTGCTGCTGCTGCTGCTGCTGCTGTCTTGATTTGATTTCTCTCCAGTCTCTGTGGTCTACAGCAGCAGCACATGCGGCCAACAACTGGGGGCTCTACGTGGCTCTTGCTTGGCTGCCTTCTTTCTTCTCCCAGGTTCTTCTCCTGCTCTCTGCTCTCTTCTCTCTGCCGTCTTCTCTCTTCTCTCTGCCGTCTTCTCTCGCTCCTTCTCCTGGCCCTGTCTTTTCTTCTTCTTCTTCTTCTTTCTTGTCCTTCCACTCTTTCTCTCATTTTTGTTGTCGTCTTGCTCCGCCTCTCCTCCTCCTCTAACTCTTGCTATGAACAGAACTATCACATGGATTTGAGTAAATCTTCGCTATACAGGCACAAACCTCCTCCTCCTCCTCTTCTTCCACCACTACCACCACCTGCTGCTGCTGCTGCTCCTCCTCCTCCTCCTCCTCTTCCTGCCTTCTTCTTTACTCACTCCCTCTTTCTCCTCTCCGTCCGGTTGCCTCTGCCTGCAGCGTCCTTCCCTACCTCGCTGGTGCTGTTACGAGCTTGGCGTCAGGCTGGGGAGCAGACAAAATGATTTCCGTGAGCCCTATCATACCACTTATCTCATATCCTCTCTCCTCCTCTCTCCTCTCTCTCTCTCTTTCGCTTCCTCTTCTTCTACTTCAGTCTCCTCCGAATTTCCTCTGATACATCAGTCACTCAGCAAGGAGTAGAACTTGTCCAAGCCCGCAAGATCTTTCAGGTTCTCCTCCTCCTGCTTTCGCTGCTGCTGCTGACTAACGGAACACCAAACTGCGGCTGAAAACTCTCTTGATTCGACTTGTTCAGGGTATCGCAAGTTTTGGTCCCTCGCTCTGCATGACGGGATTGGCGATTTATGGCACAGACAATGTGATTCCCTTTCCCCCTCTACCCCTGCCCTGCCCTGCCCTGCCCTGCTCGGCCCTGCCCTACCCCTGCCCTGCCCTGCCCAGCCCTGCCCTGCCCTCTGCTCGGCCCTGCCCTGCTCTGCCCTGCCCTGCCCTGCCCTGCCCTGCCCTGCTCTGCCCTGCCCTGCCATGCCCTGCCCTGCCCTGCCCTGCCATGCCCTGCCCTGCCATGCCCTGCCCTGCCCTGCCCTGCCCTGCCCTGCCCTGCCCTGCCCTGCCATGCCCTGCCCTGCCCTGCCCTGCCCTGCCCTGCCCTGCCCTGCTTTCAGTTCCTTCCTTCAACTGAGTTTCAGCTCTTCTCTTACCGTGTTTCTCCTTCAGGCTCCCGAGATCTCCTCTGCTCTTTTCGTCGCCTCCGTCTCACTAGGTAGAAGAGCAGAGAGGAGGAGACACGAGGGGAGGGAGAAGGACAAGAAGGGGGGCAGGAAAAGCGAAGAGGAGGAGCAGGAGGAGGAGCAAGAGGAGCACAAGGAGGAGTAAGAGGAGGAGGAACAGGAGGAGGAGGAGAAGGAGGAGGAAGAGGAGGAGGAGGAGGAGGAGGATTCCTTATGTGGGTACAGGAGGAGCTTCAGCAGGAGGCTTTGCAGCATCTTTACAGGACCTCAGCACTCGGTGACGTTCAACAAACGTCCTATCCCTCTCTTCTCTTCTCTTCTCTTCTCTTCTCTTCCATGCTCGGCTCGGCTCTGCTCTTTTCGTGTCCTCTCCTCTCTCCTCTTGTCTCTCGTCTAGTCTCCTCTCCTCTCCCCTCCTCTGCTCTCCTCTCCTCGCTCTCAATGGTTCCCAGCTATAGCGGATTTCTTTACGGAGTCACGACTTTCTTCTGCTCCATGGCAGGCGCAGCTGGTGATAACTTCCCTCCTCCTCCTCCTCCTCCTCCTCCTCCTCCTTGTCCCACTCCTTGTCCCACTCCTTCTCCCGCTACTCCACCACCACCTTCTGCTCCTCATACGCAACTACCATGACCTTGTGCTTCTGCTCCATCCCCTCCCCGTCCTCCTCTTACTTCCCCTCCCGCTCCTTCCCTCTGCTCATCCTCCATGTCTCACCTCCTTCAGGCGTGTATGCGACTGGCAGGATCCTCGACGAGACTTCCTCCTGGCCCCTTGTCTTCCTCACCACAGCCATGATCTACAGCATCGGTAGCTCCTCCTCCTCCTGCTGCCGCTGCCGCTGCTGCCGCTGCTGCTGCCGCTGCCGCTGCTGCTGCCGCTGCCGCTGCTGCTGCCGCTGCCGCTGCTGCTGCCGCTGCCGCTGCTGCTGCCGCTGCCGCTGCTTTCCTGATTTATTCCCTTAATTTGCTTCCTTCTTTGTCCATCATTGTTCTCCCAACCGATTTTGTCCTGTCCTGTCCTGTCCTGTCCTGTCCTGTCCTGTCCTGTCCTGTCCTGTCCTGTCCTGTCCTGTCCTGTCCTGTCTCCTCCTCCTCGGGTCTCTCCCTCTGCTCTTCCCTCTATTCCTTGTCTGACTTCCTTTGCTCCTGCAGGAGGGGCCGCATACTTGTTATGGTATGACGCAACTCCGATCGAGGACCCTGAGTAGGGAAGGAGAAAGAGTAGTAGTAGAAGGAGGAGGAGGAGGAGGAGGAGGAGATGTGGTCAAGGAGGGGAGGAGATCGAAGGAGGAAGGAGGTGATGGAGTTGGAGTTTGGAAATTATTGTTTCCTGTTTTCTTGTTTCTTATTGTTTTACAACATCAAACTACCAGCGAGAGCCTTTCGATGTTCAATTCCTCCTCCCCTCCTCTGCTCTGCTCTGCTCTGCTCTGCTCTGCTCTGCTCTGCTCATCTCTGCTCTGCTCATCTCTGCTCTGCTTCTCTCCTCAGTTCACAGTGGGGTAATGAGATCCAAACTCCTGCCTCACGCCTTCAGCGGCCTGCTCTCCTCCTCCGCACGAACCTTGAGATGCTCCAGCAGCGTCTCCTCCTGCTCCTTCAAGCTCGCAGGGACCTTGTGGTGGTAAGGAAAAGAAGGAGGAGACGGAGGAGTGGGAGGGAGGGAGGGAGGGGGGGGGGGGGGGAGGGAGGGAGGGGAGGGGAGGGAGGGGAGGGAGGGGAGGGAGGGAAGGAGGGGAA